ATGCCGGGAATAGGAGACTCACACACACAGGGACATGTATGCAATGGGGCGGACGATAAGACGACTGAGGCCAAGGAAGGGCTGGCCAGCGGGGCACTGGGACAGTGGGATTTCCGAGGAGTGGTCCCATGGCTGGCAGGAACAGGAGGGGAGGTCAGGGCACCAACAAGCCTTGTGCCACTGCAATGTCATGAGGGAGAAAGTGCTAGGCTGTTGTGACTGGCACCGTGGTCACAGGACCGCTGTGGAGAGAGGACCAGGGCAGGCCAAGGCGAGGTGGCTGTCGGTATTGGGAGGCCACGGCCAGCATCTCCACCTCTGTGGGACTCTCCTGCTGCTCTGTGTGGGCAGCCTCTGTAAGGACTGCTGATGTCTCGGCTCCACCTGGCCTCAACAGCCAGGGCTGGGCCGGGCCACAACCAGGAGCCAGGAACTCCGTCCTCATCTTCCACCACAGGTGCCAGGCCAACCACTTGGGCTATCATCTGCTACCTTCCCAGAAGCACAAGCGAGAAGCTGGCTGGGAAGTGTAACAGCCAGCGCTCCGATGTGGAATGTTGAGATGGCAACAGCAGCTTAACGTGCTGCACTGCAACCTTGGCCCCTGTTTCTCTTTTTCTTAATTCTAAACTTGTCTGTCCCAGGCATGTCCTTTATACACATGAAGTCCCAGGAATATATCTACGCTTTTTTAAAAAGGCTTTATTACTTATTTTTAAAGTTTTATTTTTTTTTTATTGGAAAGGCAGATTTACAGAGAAGAGAGAAAGATACTCCGTCCACTGGTTCCCTCTTCAACTTCAGATCAGGACTAAGCCGATCGGGAGCCAGGAGCACTTTCTGGGTCTCCCACGCAGGTGCAGGGTCCCAAGGCTTTGGGCCGTCCTCTGCTGCTTTCCCAGGTCACAAGCAGGGAGCTGGATAGGAAGTATAGCAACCGGGACTCGAACCAGTGCCCATATGGGATCCCAGCAGTGCACGGAGAGGCTTAATAACAATATCAAGGCAACAGCCCCAAGCCCACCCCCCACCACGTATGGAACTACTTCTGTACATGTGTTCACTTGCTCAGATGCCCGTCTGTGTGGACCAGCACTCCAACAGGGCTGTGTATGGGTGCAGGCCGATGAGCCACCTTCCCTATCTGGGGCCTCCATCTCCCTGTCGCCCACTGCGGAAGCTCACAGACGCCCATTGCTGTTGTGTGTCCACCCTGGCTCCAGTATCACTGACCAGTCCCCATCCCACGGGTGGGTCTAGCAAGCCACCCTTCGGCCTGACATGCCTACAGGGGGCGGCTCCTGCTGGTAGCAGTGACCAATCTGAGCGGGACTCGGCCATGACGTCGCTGCCCCCTCCGTGTGTCCCCCACAGGCCCTGAGCATTCCTCTGACTCGGAGTACACTCTCTCAGAGCCGGACTCCGAGGAAGAGGAGGAGGAGGAGGAAGAGGAAGAGGAGACCACTGATGATCCAGAATATGACCCCGGCTACAAGGTGAAGCAGCGCCTGGGGGGCGGCCGGGGCGGCCCCTCCCGTCGGGCCCCACGGGCAGCCCAGCCCCCGGGCCCCCTGGCACAGCCCTGCCAGCTCTGTGGCCGCTCTCCGCTGGCCGAGGCCCCACCGGGCACCCCACCTTGCCGCCTCTGCCGCCCTGCTTCGGCCCCCCAGGAGCTCCCCACGCCCGCAGGCAGGGCTCCTGGGGGGGGAGACGAGGAGCCCCCTCAGGCTGGGGAGGGCCGCCCCACTGGGCGCGGGGAGGAAGAGGAGGAGGAGGAGGAGGAGGATGAAGAGGATGAAGAGGAGGGCACGTACCACTGCACGGAGTGCGAGGACTCCTTCTCCACGCTGGGCGAGCTGCACGCGCACTTCATGCTGCACGCACGCGGGGAGGTGTAGGCACGGGGAGGGCAGGGCGGGACGAGGGGCAGAGGAGGGGCAGGTCACGTGGTCAGGTCCCGGGCATAGCTCATGTGTGTCGTCTTAGGTGTAGACGTATGAAGGCCAGAATAAAAGCCAATTGTGTGTACGTGTGTCGCGTATGTGTGTTATACCTGCACACAGCCCCCCTTTCCTCACCTCACCAAGGAAACAACTGTGCACTAGGCTTGGGGGCCTGCCAGACGTAGCCATAGTAAGGCTCCAACGCAAGTTTGGTTTTGACTGAGCAGATGACTTGGGGGCGTGGGCCTCCCTTTTGTCTGTCATCAGGCCCAGTGCCTGCCACCTGCATCCTGCTGGTTGACAGGAGCCTGGAGAGATGGCTGTGTCCTCTGCCAAGGAATGTGTGCTGCCCCTGCGTGTGCCTTAGCTGGACGTGAGTCCCGTGGGCACAGCTGACTGCAAAGGAGTCTGGGAAAGGCAGTGTGCTTGACCAAGCCACCCAAGAAGTCCCACTGTAATTGTGCTGCGCTGCCCAAGCCCTTCCTGGTCCGGGAGCTGGAAGGGAGGGGGTGTGTGTACCCAGGTGTGTGTCTAAGAGCGTGCAGAGCAGAGCCTCAGCCTGGAGTGTGACTGCAGATCTGCCACGCTTTATTTGCATGAGACCCCTGGTTCCTAGAATAACTCAGAGAAGAGGCAGGAGCCAGCAATTTGCCTGGCATATGTTCCTGTGTACCTACCGCCCGCTGCCACAGCCTAGCGAAAAACCCCAGGGAGCAAAGCAAAATCTCCCCAAATCCACACAGGGGTGAACAGGGTGCCGCTGGCAGACGGGCAGCAGACAAGGGGCCAGCAGTGCGAGCCTGGTGGGTGACACGGGTGACAGGTGCCATGCGGGACTGGAGGACAGAACTGCCTGCAGGCAGCTGCCATCTGAAATAGCACAGTTCTCTGAAGGAAGGTGCCAGACCGGAAGGAGGAAGGAGGGAGGCGGGGAAGTGTATGTGCTGCCGGGGAAGAACATTCCAGTCGGGATGAGGATCCCGGGTGGTGTGTCGGGGTGGCCAGAGCATGGGGAAAGAGTTGGGAAGAAAGAGGAGCTGTGGCAGCTGGGGCTTCCACTCTCGAAACGGGCAGTGCCAGCTCACAAAGGCTAGGTACTAAGTCTGTCTTTGCATTTGCTTCCTAAGCATTGACCACAGGCCGGGCCCATGGTGCGTCACGCATGTTGGCTCATCCAAACCCACACCCAGGAACCTTCAGGAATAAAATTTGAATGACTATCATGGCCACTCAGTGAGGCAGCCATGCTCACGGCAGGCTAGGCCTAGGCTCGGCGCTTTGTATGGGCCATCGAGTTGGTTGGTCACCACTGCAGTAGGGACCCATGGCTGCTCTGGGCATTCGTCCAGTTGCAGTGATCTGGGCACCCGCAGGCATCTGCTGTCACCATGGCCATGCCTCCTGGCTTTCAGTCACAGGAGCAGAACCTGACAGTCATGACAATGGATGCTCATTGCTCATGGTCAGGGAGGCGGGGAGCTGAGATCAAGGTGCTGGCAGGTTCTGGGTCAGCTGACAGCTGCTGTTGGCCTCCCAGGGCTCACCCGGCGGAGAGGGCAGAGGGTGAGAGGTGGGAGAAAGCAAAAGACCCCCTTTCCTCCAGCTCTTGGGATGCTGAGCCTCCGGCTTCGGTCATGTGGGGTCTCGGCTTCCCAACGTGGGAATCCTGGGGTTCCCAGCCCTTCAGACCGTAGCACATTCCTCAGTGAGGAGACAACACTTGCCCTGGAGACCCCCATCCTGCCATCCCAGAGAACTCCCCGACCCTCAGCCAGGGCCAGGGGACGTGGGCTGCTGCCCACCTGCCTGTGGAAGGCAGGCAAGCGTGGCATCTGCAAAGGGGCCTGGGTTACAGCATGGCATTGGGCGGAAAGAGGAAGCGCATGGAAGTGTGTGAAGCTCCTTCCTGGCTGTATCCTGGCTGTCCCTGTCACGGGTGAAAATGAAAAGTGCTGAATGCGCTGGCAAGAAAAAGTAGGGCAAGGGCTTGGCCAGGCAGCTTTAGGAAGACCTGAGGAGTGGGCAGGTGCTGAGACCTGGGGAAGTGGGCGGTGGTGCAGAGGCCCCGAGGCTGAGCCCACCCCAAGGAAGTAGAGGACACCCCCACCTCCGGCCTGGTATATGGAGGGAGAGGGGAGGGCAGCCAGGAGACAGAGCTGCAGCTGGGGCTGGAGGTTGCTGTGGGACACACCGAGGTTCTCCACGGGACAGCCAGTTGACCCAGAGTTCTTCCTCCAGATTCTGGCCCTGAGCACAGCATGCCACTGCCTTGGCTGGGCAGTGTGGAGAGTACGTGGGGCAGGGTGGGGCCACAGGAAGCACGTGACCCAGTTTATTTTTGGAGTCTTTTGGTGACTCCCCCCCTCCCCCCAGGATTTATTTATTTGAAAGGCAGAGTTAGAGAGAGGTCTTCCATCCTCCAGGTCACTCCCCTAATGTTTCGGCTGGTGTTGGACAAGACTGGAGCCAGGAACTTGGAACTCCAGCTGGGTCTCCCACATGGGCGCAGAGGCCCAAGCACTTGGGCCATCCTCCACTGCTTTCCCAGGCGTATTAGCAGGAGCTGGAATGGAAGTGGAGCAGTCAGGACTCGAACCAGCATCCACAGGTGGCTTAGCTATGGCCACAGTACTGGCCTCAGCTGTGGTAAGTTGACATCTTGGAAAAACCCAACGGCCAGCTGATTCCATCCCATTCCCGACAAGGGGTCTAGGCCAGCCATGCCCCAACTGCTCCCCAATACACACACACCCCTTCTCCTGCCAGGCACAGCACTGCCCAGACCCAGAGGTCATGTGTGCCTGTGAGTTAGACCAGGGCCCAGCGGACTTGCACCGCAGGGAGGGACTAGATGACTATTCCTCATGTTTCAGCAGCAGAAGCCAGGAAGCCTCCTGGAAGCTCTCAGATCGGTTCCAGGCAGAAGCCGCCATAAACAATACAAAACCAACGTGACTGTTCAATAAAACTTTATTTGTACAATCTGGCTAGATGTGACCGCAGACCTCTGTCTCAGCTGTATATGACAGACACAGGACAGCAGAGCACCGCGCCCACACTGGACCTGTGCCCCAGGCCCTCACTGCCTTTTTGCTCTGCCATCCCACATGCTGGTCTTGTCCTCAGGATCCAGGATGTTTGGATACCATGTCCACATTTCTGATTAGGAAAACCGAGCCCCTTCCCCAAGCTAGGGAAGATTTTCCCTGGGACTTTTGCTTGAACCGGGTCCCATGGCCACATGTTGCTCCAAGGGACTCTGGGAAATGTAGTCTTAAGCCAAGAATCATCTCCCAGTCTACCTGGATGAGCCTCACATCACCAGAACCCAGAGCTCCACAGGCAACATATGAGAGCCTGGCTCAGTGGGCGCCCCCAGAGGCAGAGGGCCATGGGCCATGGGCCACCTCGGCTGGTAGCCTTGGCCCTGTCTCACCCTTGCCCACACGGTCAGGCCTGGCCTGGGCCTTTCAGGAGAGCTGCAAACAGGACCCTAACGGGGAGTGTCCCGAGGCCAGCCAAAGATTGCACAGGACAGATGGCGTCTCTGCTGGACTTGGAGCCAGTCGTCCTCCAGTGCCAGGCCAGCTCTGCACCATTTCGACCCCAATGCCCCCACCCCCTCTGCATGGAAGCACTGGTGAGGGGTAGGTGGGAAGAGACCAGGACCCGGTGCCAACACCACCCGCTCCTTCCCGACCAGTGCATGTGGCGCCAGCGCGTTCGCTGCCCCCTCCCCAGGACAGCATGCGCCATGCCCGGTAGGGTCACAGCACAGGCGGTGCCTCATTCATGTGCCCATCCAGGCCCTGATCCAGGCACTTGGCTCCCGGCAGCCCGCAGCATCCATCTGGGAAGAATTCAAGGTGATTGCATAATCTGCAGCTAGCTGTTTAATTGGGAATGAGGGAGATAAAAATAAACTCTTATTTCACTCCCAAAAAAGCCCACTCGATGGACAGTCTGGTTGCACAGTTTTCCCGTGTCCTCCAGAGCTCTGGAGGAGAATCTTCTGGGCCCTGTCCAGCAGGAGCTCTTGTCCCTCCCACCTTGGGAAGGAGCAGCAATCTTCCTGCTGGGCCAGCAGCCCCTCAGAGTTCCCCCCGAGCGTGCCGGATGTAATGTCGGTGCAGCCCGGCCTCCTGCGCAAAGCCCTGGCCGCACTCGGTGCAGGCGAAGGTGCCACCGGGCGCGGGGGCCTCGTGCACCTGTCGGTGGCGCCGCAGAGAAGCCGCCTGCCCGAAGGCCTTGCCGCAGTCAGGACACGGGAAGGGGGGCTGAGCCGCGAGGCCGGCGGGGCCGGCAGGGCTGTGGCCGCGCTGGTGGGCCATCAGGGCCTTGGAGGACAGGAAGGAGCGGTCGCAGGTGAAGCAGACGAAGAGCGCCCCCCGCAGCTTCTGGGCCACGAAGTCGGCCGGGTGCTCCCGCTTCATGTGCCGCTCCTGAAATTTGGAATCGGCGAAGGTGATGAGGCAGCGGCTGCACTGCGGGGCCTCCGGGTGGCCTGAAGGATGTGGACAGAGGTTGGGGAAGGCCCCCAGCACCTCTCCCCAGCCCCAGAACCGGGCGCTGCCCAAACCGGGGTCCACGCTGCTGTGGCCTACGGGGGGCCGGCTGTCAGAGTGGACTTCAGAGGGTGAGCTCAAAGCAGGCAGACCGTGGAGCGTGGGGCCAGGACTGGGACGCTGGGAGTGGCCGCCCCACAGAGCAGCAGGGCAGGGAGGACAGTGCCCTCGGGCCACGCCGGCTTGGGGTGCACCCTTGGCAGGCACGAGGGGCACGGGGTGATTAACACCTGGACGAGGGGCTAGCCCCTAAGAAGTGCTCAGAGCAGCAGGACTGTCCACTGTGCCGGCCGTGGGTCGGGAGCTGCCCTGCTCCGTCTCATTAGGACTGAAGGAGCTCGCGGGGCGCTGGGGGTGGGGATGAGCTGAGGGGCCGGCACAGTCCCTTCCCAAAAGGAAGCGAGGAACCCGGGGTGCGGGAGGCGACCCCTCAGCCAGCCGTACTCACAGACGCCGCCTCGGGGGCTGCCGGCCGATTCCTGCTGCTCCGCGGACTCCTCCTCCATGATGCCCGAGACCCCTCTGCTCAAGAGGGCAGCGCGAGTGAGGGGGTGCTGTTCGGCCGGCACCAGCCCCCTAAAAACCTAGCGATCTCGGCCCGCGACGCCCACCTGTGACCGGCACGGGACCACCTCGTTCTTTCCGAGGCAGCTGCCACTAAGAGGACCGTCCAATCCAAACGATCGGCACCTCCCCGGTTCGAGACCCCGCTAAAGACAGCTCACGGTGTGACCTGTGACCGCTGCCCTCGGAGCGTCATCGCGCTCTTGAACATGTCGGGACACCGATTCTGTCTCTCCCTGGACATCGTGCTTTGCCACCCCCGTGCCCCGCTCGCGCGGTCAGCCCCAGTGCCCGGTTACCCGCCACCACTGTCAGTGGGGCGCTGCCTGCTCCTCGGAGCGAGGGTACCCGGGACTCGACCCTCCTTCCGTACAGCACAGGCTGCCTCGCGCGGCGCCTGTCACGGGCGCGCCTTAGCGCCACCACCCGCAGGGGAGTGAAGCAGGGCCCACTGAATTTCAAGATTCCTGAGGTTTCAAAGCCTGAGGCGCCTCTCAAAACCGAGCCCGTCACCGCCATCCCGCATCAAGTAGTACATTCGCGAACGCGCACCTCGGGGCGGGATCAGAGGAGAGGGGTCCTTCCCTGCGCTGTGATGCGTGCTGATGACGTCGCAGCCGCCGTGCCGTACAAGACCCCAGCGGGTCGCGCGGAGTGCGCAGGCGCCGAGGGCCGGTTCATTGTTCCCAGGCGAGAGGCGGCCGGAGCTGAGGGGCGTGCTCCGCACGGCCGTAGTGCGCAGGCGCGTCGAGGCGGTCACGTCTCCCCGGGGGCGGGGGTGAGTGACGTCAGGGCAGAAGCTCTAGAACGCGTCCCGGCGTCCGGACCTCGGTTCCCCGGTGAGTCCGGGACGAGGCTTCTGCACGAGCGAGCGTGCTGCTTCCCGGTGAGTGCTTGGGAAGCGAGGGCGGAGGGGAAGCCGTTCCGACGGCCGCGAGGGGAGAAGCCGTCGGGGCTGGGAGACGCGGCCGCCCGTGACCCCGGCAACCCCGCGCCCTTGCTCGCTTTGCAGCCATGCCTCCGCCCCGGGGAGACGTGACCGCCTTGTGCCTGGGACCCCCGGGCTCCGGGAAGTCGGCGCTGATCCAGGCGCTGTGCGCCGAGGATGCAGACCCGGTGGAACTGCCCGAGGCGATCCCCGAAGGACGGCCGGACTCCGGGGTGCCTCGCCTGAGAGCTGCGGGCCCGGGGCTCTTCCTGGGCGAGCTGAGCTGCCCACCCGCAGCGCCCGGGCCCTGGGCGGCTGAGGCCGACATGCTGGTTCTGGTGCTGCCCGGACCGGAGGGGGCTGCGGAGCCCTTGGCCCCGGAGCTGGGCGAGGCAGCACGGGCCGCCCTGGCCCGAGGAGCCCCGCTGCTGGCCGTGCGGATCCTCCCTGGCGACCAGTTGCAGAAGGACGCGCAGGCCCGGGAGCAGACCACCGCCCTGCTGGCGGCCGCCGGGCTGGGAGCTGCGCCCCTCTTCGTGCTGCCTGCGGAACGGGCCAGCAGCGATGGCCTCGGGGAGCTGGAGCGCCTGCGGTCGGTGCTGAGGAGCCGGGCAGAGGCACTGCAGAGGTGAGCCCCGGATTTCCAGCTGGGCTGGGTTGGGGGTCTTTAGGCTAGACCCATGCCCCGTAGCCGCTCAGGGACAAGGGTTATCCACTCTTTCTGTGGGACCTTTTACTGGCATCTAGTTTCACTTCACCCACCTGGAGGTCCTGCCCGGTTGTCAGGGTCCTTGGGGGACCTCCTGGGCTGGTGGGACCCACATACTGCCCGCAGACCCGCTCTGCCCAGCGGGTTTGTGATCCTTGCAGCCCCTGGCGTCTAACCTTGTAGCAGCTTGGTTCTCAAGCACCCTTAGTCGCTCAAAAGCTTCAACATCAAGTGAGCTTTAGGATTTTAAAAATGCATTGAGTGTTTATTTGAAAGAGTCCCAGAGCGAAAGCCAGAGAGAGAAGAGAGAGAGAGGAAGAGAACGCTTCCATCTGCTGGTTCACTCCCCAGATGGCAGCAGCAACCGAAGCTGGGCCAGGCCGTACCCAGGAGCTCCGTCCAGGCCTCCCGTGGGGGTGGTAGGCGGCTTTGGCCATCCTTTGCTGCCTTCCTGGCCCATGAGCAGGGAACTGGATTAAAAGCGGAGCAGTGGTGTGGCAATAGAGGATGCCTGGGAGTAGAAATAGTCTGGGGAACGGGGGAGAGGGGACAGGCAGAGCCCTTTAGCTTTACCTGCTGTCCCCTTAGCCACACCTGCTTGGCCAGAACTGGTACCTGGGCAGTCCCCACTCTGCCGGCTTCAGGAAGGGCACCCTGGCCCCTTGGGCTGGCCCCTGTGAAACGCTCAACGTACACAACAGTGGGGGTTCTACTTGCGAGCATTGCAGAAGGCTTCCCGTCTTGGGCTTCTGTTTGAACCCTGACGTTGGGGTTACCCACCATCCTGTCCGGGGCTGCTCCAAGGCCCACCCTTATGTTTTTAGCCCCTTCCCACCGGCATTTATGGCCAGTCCTGTCTACTTATTTCTTGCCTCTGTTCCCCATGTCCTGTCTTATTCTCTCAGCACCACTCCTTGGTCGCTTCACCTGGAGTCCCTCCTTCAAGCCCTTCTGCCTTCTCTCCCTGCCCCTGCAGGCTCCTACCAGCGGCTCAGGATGGCTTCGAGGTACTGGGTGCAGCCGAGCTGGAGGCTGTGCGCGAGGCCTTCGAGACGGGAGGCCTGGAGGCAGCTCTGTCGTGGGTACGCGCTGGCCTGGAGCGCCTAGGCAGCGCGCGGCTGGACCTAGCAGTGGCTGGCACTGCAGACACGAGCCGTGTGCTGGGCGTGCTGCTTGGACTGGACCCTGACGACGCATGTGCAGTGCCTGCCTCTGCACCCACCCCTTTCCCAGCCCCTGAGCGCCCCAATGTCGTGTTCTGGATTGTGCCACTGGGTCCTACCGTCGCCTCAGCTGCCAGCACCCCTCACCCGACCCACTACGATGCCCTCATCCTAGTCACCTCTGGGGCACCGATGGAGAAGGATTTGGTGCAGGCGCGAGCCTTGGTGCCCCCGGATGCACCGCTGGTCTGCGTGCGGACCGATGGCGAGGGCGAGGATCCAGAGGCTCTGGGTGAAGCTGGAGAGGTGGAGAAGCTTGGCAGGCAGAGCACAGAGAAGGCAGGTGTGGGCGGATCGGATCCTGCACCCGGTGAGGGGAGGGAGAAGCAGGGTACAGGTGGAGGAGGCCAGGAGAAGGCTGGCAGCGAATGCTCACAGGAGGGCGATGGTGGGACGGCGGCAGGCAGCACAGATGCCCAGCGCTCAGCCGCGTTGAGTCCGGAGGACGAGACATGGGAGGTGCTGGAAGAGACGCGGCCACCCGTGTTCCCCCTACGGCCCGCTGGACTCCCGGGGCTGTGTGAGTGGCTGCGCTGTGCGCTCCCCCCCGCCCAGGCTGGGGCGCTGCTGCTGGCGCTGCCTCCTGCATCTCCTGCCGCAGCCCGGAGGAAGGTGGCTGCGCTGCGGGCAGGGGCTTGGCGGCCGGCCCTGCTGGCTAGCCTGGCAGCGGCAGCAGCTCCAGTACCAGGACTAGGCTGGGCCTGCGATGTGGCGCTCCTGCGGGGTCAGCTGGCAGAGTGGAGGCGGGCGCTGGGGCTCGAACCTGCGTCATTGGCGCGTCGTGAGCGTGCCCTGGGTCTGACCCCTGGAGAGCTGGCGGCGCGTACTCACTTCCCGGGCCCGGTAACGCGGGCCGAGGTGGAAGCCAGGCTGGGAGCCTGGGCTGGCGAGGGTACCGCGGGGTCCGCGGCGCTAGGCGCTCTTTCTTTCCTGTGGCCCGCGGGGGGTGCAGCGGCCACTGGCGGCCTGGGCTACCGCGCGGCACACGGCGTCCTGCTGCAGGCGCTGGACGAGATGCAGGCAGACGCCGAGGCTGTGTTGGCACCCGCTGAGCCCACCCTGTGAGGGTTGGGGAGTACCTGTTGTTCTGGTTGCCAGCTCCTGAGGGCATGAGGATCCGAAGTCCTGTTGGGGGAGGGGCTGCGGGAGTGCCGAGGGTAAAGGAGCCGGGGTGTCCTTGGGAATTCTGGGTGATTGAAGGGGATTGGGTCGCCTGGATTCCTGGGTCAGAGGTGGGGTTGGTAGGGAGTCTTGCCTCCTGCAGCAAGTAGGAGCCTGGACTCCCACAGAGGGGGCAGGTCTTGGTCTCCAGGGGAGAAGAAATGAGAGTTCCTGGATGTGTACGTTCTTGAGGCCCTGGGCTGGTTATCAGACAGGGAAGAGAAACCTGAGGGTCCAGGGTCCTTTCAGTCCTCATGGGGCTGGGGTCTGCAGGAGCCCAGAAACCTGGGACCTTGGATTCTAATTCTTGGGTGGGGGGAGGTCTGTATGACACTTGTCGCCGGGTCTGGGGGGGCATGGTTGGTCTCACAGAAGTGGGAGAGGGCAGCCATCTGCACGTGGTGGGCGCCAAGGGTCGTGGGAGACCAGGAACAAGGCTGGAGATGGGAGGGCCACATGATGGCGACCCCTTCCAGATGGGCCTGGTACAGGAGGGTTCCTGGTGTGTGCTCCCACGGTGTAGATGCTGAGTGAGAATGCCTCCTGTCTCTCCCACCTGGGGGGGGGGCGCTGTTTGTTCTTGTCTTGGTTTCTTCGGTTGTTAAACCTAAATGTGTGCTGACCTTGGTCCTTTGTGCACCTGCCTTTCTGGACAAGCAGCTGCTTCTGTCTCCAACACCTGTGTGGGGCCGTCCAGGGGCTTCCCAAGATGCACTGCCCCTAGAGGGTGCTGCAGCGAGCAGGGGTGTGTGGAGACAGACACCACAGTGCCTGGAAGGTGGCCAGAGCTGTGTGTCTTGGAGAAGCCACAGGCTCCTGAATGCTTCAGCATTATGACCACAAGAGGGGGACCTGAGGAGCGGTTACAGAGAACCAAATACAGGCAGGGCTGGCTGGAGACCCCAGCGCACACGGCGAGGCTCCTGTGTGCTTTGGTCCTGCCGTCTGCTCCCCACCCAGCCTGCCAGGCCACCCTGCCTAGGCCTGAATAGACCCCAGGCCCTTGGCACGGCTGTCCTGTCTCCCAGAATGCTCAGAGACAAGCCCTGCCCTTTCCTGTTGCTCACCTGGCCCTATTAACCCCCACACCACCGTTGTTGGTCTCTGCCTGCCGATCCAGTCCCGTTGACAGTGCTCTGCATGTTGGCCTCCGTAGTGGGTGCTGATGCTTTGCCTGTCTTGTCCTCTGGCACCCCGCCGGCTGCCAGAACTCAGCCGCCACACAGCAGATGCTTCAGTCGTTGATGAGTGGGAGGGCGAGGACCGGAATTGCCACAGGAAGGAAAAAGAAGCGAGTCTAATGGCTGAGAAGTCCCGTCTGAGGTGGTGGAGGAGGCCTGGGTAGCGAGCACAGCTCTGCCACGTTACACCACTGAGATCACTGCCTTATCCCCCCATCGGCGAGCCGGAAGGGCTGGACCACAACCACAGGTACCCCCGAGGACTCCATTTCCTGGATGGCTATAGACAAGGGTGAGGGACAGCACCCCACGTCCAGCCTGTGCCCCCGCCCCAGCAGAGACTGCCAAAGGGTGAAATGACTTAAGACGGAGAAGCTTCCAGCTGTGAAAATGGTGTCCTCGTCCTCAAGGCCCTTGGCCCCCTGGTAATGCTGCTGGGGGGCCATGTCGGTGCCCCCCCCATGCATGTCTGCATCTGTGCCTTCTCCGTGCAGCTTGCAGTGCGCCCCTCCCTCAATGGAGATGATCAAGACCGGTGCAGCACGATCCTGTCCAGCAGCGAGACACCAAGAGCCACACGTGTGATGTCAGACTGCCTAGTGGCCACGTTGCTGGAGTGGACGAAGGCCGGGGGCTCGTCGGAATCCGTTCCCACGTGACCCAGCGTGCCTGTTACTGTCATCTCTGCATGCAGTCAGTCTCGAGTGCTGCTCGCTTCCTTCTTTCCGCTGCGTTCCTGGAGTGTGGTCATTGGCACCGACCGCATCGCCATCAGATAATAAGCAGAAATGCTTCGCCCCTATTTATTTATTTAATTATTTGTTAGTGCATGCGCTCCCATCTGCTAGTTTATTCTGGTTTAGCCACGTCTGGAACATGGAGTCTGGAATCCCACCCAGGTCCCCGTATTGGGTGGCAGGACCCCAGGCATGGAAGGCCTCATCACAGGAGCCAGAGTTAAGAATGAAGCTCAGATGCTCCCCCACACACACATACACAGACTGTAGGCCTCTCCCCCTTCCTGTGGCCTCCGCCAATTCTGTCAGCCGCAGTGCAAGAACCAGCTTGATATACCTGAATCTACTTGGTAGTCTTTCAGCAGCAGAAGTGGGTATGAATCTTTGAAATAAAATGTGGAATTCAGCTGCCTACTCACATTTGGGTGGTCACATGGGGTTGTCTCCATTACACAGGGGGTCGTGGCTGCAGAGGCAGCTCCAGGATCTTGACCTTGGGATGACCTTGAGAGTGTGAGTGGCATCTACTCACAGTTATTGTGAGAAGTCGATGTGTGCAGGTTCTTGTGTGCACACACAGCAGCTTACAGCCCTTCCCGCAGATGCTGACTCGCCAGGCCCTGAGCCCTGGGCACCTCTCTGCCCCTCTGATACCATCTTAGAGCTGGTCCAACATCGCTTCTCTGCCCTCATCAGAGCCCAGGCCTGAAAGGGCAGGACAGCTGGGCCTGTGTGCATTGTCGGTGCTCCCTGAGGCATGTGGACTGGCATGGCTATGGCTTGGCACCCAAGGATCTCACAGCTTTGAGCCTTGGGCCTTATGGACGCACAGTGAGGTTTCGTCTCAGGCAGCAGATCCCGAGTCCCTGTGGATGTCTGTTGGCCGCCCTCGAAGGCAGATTCCTAGAGATGTGTCTTGAATAAATATGGATAGGAATTGTACTTCGTGTCTGTTCTTTATTTCAAAGACACAGAGATCTTCCCATCATTGGTCCCTTCCCCAAATGCCTACAACAGAAACCAGGAATGGAACTCCATCTGGGTCTTGGGTGAGTGGCAGGGACCCAACCCCTGGAGTATGTGGTAGCTGGAAGCTGAACTTGGAAGTGGTAGAGCCAGGACTTGAACCCAACACTTGGGTGTGGCTGTCCTGTGGTATCTGTTCTTTTGGGGTTTGTAGGGGAGAAAGGAAGATGCTTAGTATCTCAGGTTGGAATCCTGGGTCCTGTGAGAAGATCATGGGGAATAGGAGCACTAGCAGGAAGCTGAGCAGCTGGGACTTGAACCAGTGCTCCTATGGCATGCCAATGACGTAGGCGGTCACTAAGCCCGCCGTGGTGTTAGTCCAGCCTGAGGACCACCGGTCTTGTTGCCCTCAGGACCCTGCACATCAGGAAACCCAGACTGCATGGCCCAGCTACCTGTGACTTCCCACCCCTGGTCCACAGCCAGCCCCCAGGGATGGAACTGTCCAGCTGATAGACAGCTGAACCCAGTGACATCAGCAGAGGAGCACCCACCTGGGGGCTGGTGCCAGGGTGCAACGGATTAAATCACCTGCAGCAGCATCACTTCTGACCCAGCTGTCTGCTGATAACCTAGAAAGGCAGCAGAGGATGGTCGAAGTGCTGACACACTTGCACCCACTGAGGCATCCAGATGAGGCTCCTGGCTTTGGCTTGACTCAGCCCTGGCTGTTGTGATCATTTGGGGAGTGAACCAGCAGATGCAAAATCTCTTCCCTCCTCTCTCTAATTCTTCCAAATTAATTTGGAAACACACACCCAGCTGGTCTCGTGACCAAGTTGTTGACTCATTGACTCATGAGCTAAATAAAGATAATTGTTCCAGGTCACGCCATTTGGTGATGTTTTGTTACGGAGCCGAACAGTAACCCATACTGACTCATTCATTCCGTTTCCCTGCTGTGGTCTCCCCTTTAGCCATGACCCAATGATTGGCTTTATTACCTCCCTCATGATGTCCTTTCTCTCAATCCCAGATTCATCTCCTGGCAACAATGAGAATGACTATGCCATCACACACAGCTGTCAACAAGGTGAAACGAGACTGTCTTTACCCAGAGGCCGCCCGGTGTTTGTGAAACCTGCCTGGTTCTCTGACTTCCCACACTGGGCGGGACTGCCTTTCGGCTGCTGTGTGGTTGGGTGGGGCTGTGGGAGTAGACTCACGAGCTGTAAATGTTAGGTCATTTCTGCATCCCTGCGTGTGGTCACCATGGAAGACTCTCCCAGGTGCTTCCTGGGAGCCAAGAAGCTGACTGTGTTCAAGGGGGTGGCTGCACTTGACAGAGATGGGCAGAAGCACAGGGTGAGGGAAAAACTGGATGACGCGCCTTCACTCTTCTGTCCTACACTGCAGGGGAAAATAGCCTCCCAGTCCTATTCGTGTTGGGTCTGGAGGCAGGATTGATTGACTCAGGGAAAAGTTGGCAGGCTCAACCTTAGCCACGGCCTTGGATACACTTGGGCTCCTAGGGTCTGATAGGAGAACCTTTGCCAGAAAGCCGCTGGTCCTAAATGCTGGTGGAAACTCTTGGAGGAATCTGGGACCCTCTTCCCAAGCCAGAGCCAGTCCGGTCGGGCCCGCAAGCTGAGTGCCTTGAATCAGTTTGGCTCCTCACCCGGCATTATTGCAGCGCCAGCTGACTCCTGGATCTCCATTGTTTTCAACCCCGAGCTAAGAGACTTGTTTGTTACTGTAGCACAATCTGGTTAGTCTTGACCGATGGCTATGTGCGTGGAGCACCTGCCAGCCCCATGGCTCTCCATAAGTGGCAGCTGCTAGCATGATTGCTGTTTGCCTCGCCATGTCGCCTCCAGGGCTGACGCTGGCTCCTGGGTGCCAGACCCTGCACTGGATGCTTCTCAAATGTCCTTTCATTTGACATTGATGGCAACCCTATGAAGTGATAGAACTAACTCCCACGTATTGCAGTCATGAGAACAGACAAAAAGCAGGGGGCGGGGGAAGAGGTGATTGTGGAATCTAGAGTCTGCCAATCCCTGGCTGTTGGACCCAGTCATCGTTGGCCTGTCTGTCCACCTGTAAAATGGACATAGTCACAGCACCTTCATAGTTGTGATCATGCACTGAGCAGCATGGACCACACACAGTACCTGGAAGACAGAGGGAGTCTTTCTGAACCCCACTTTCCCCCACCAAGTGTGTCACAGCACAGGGACGCAGGCCTGTTCCGTTTAACTGTTTACTTTTACAGGATAGATGGAGAGAGCTGGGATCTTCACTCGGCCCTGCCTGGGGGCCAGGGGGCCGGCAGACAGTCAGCTCGCCTCAGGAAGTAGAGGTAGGAGGCCGAGGGCACCTCGGCACCAGCCTTTGTATAACAGGCACTCTCCGTAGCACAGCCCCGTGTGGCAAATTTGGTGTTGAAGATACCTGGGGGCGGTGGGGCATTGCAGAAGTTCAGATCAAAAGTCAGGGCGTCACCTCCTCACCTTTCACCCGGGGCTGGGGGTAGGGGGAAGAGAGGTCAGGGCCTGCAGACCCGGACTCATGTTCCCTCCCTCCAGAGAGCCAGCTGCGCCCCTCACCAGCCTGCACGTTGCCTGCAAAGTAGATGCAGTGGGTTTCCTGGCCCACGCAGCGGGCTGCCTGAGTCCCCGGGCACGTCTCCTGGAAGGGCGCGATGCAAGACGGGCACATCAGGCCGTTCTCCGTCCGGTTGTTCTGGGGGGCTGAACACCAAGGACACAGAGTGAGGTCAGTCAGGGGTGTTGGGGTCACCCCGCACCCTCCCGGCAACCCCTGGGGACACCACGGGCCCATGGTCTGTGGGCGCGGGTGCTGAGCTGGCACTCACGGGGTACCGTGCCACGGTTGCAGCCATCGCTCTGGCAGCAGCGGGCATTGGTGACCATGTAGTCGTCACGGCTCATGGTGGTGGACACGAAGCCCGAGTAGCAGTCACTGAGCTTCATGCAGTTCTTGTAGATGCTTACAGATTTGTGGCCCTCTGTGGGGCAGGGAGGTGGAGGGAGGGGAGTCAGGAGGGATGGGTGGTGGCCCCACTCTCTTCCTGCACCCCCCATCTTGCTCCCTCCCACCCCTAGGGTCATACCCTTGGCCCCAGCTGTGCTGGGGTCTCATTAGTGACCCCTTTTGGGGGCTTTTCTTAGTTGTCTCTTGGGGGTTCCCATTGCCAATCCCAAGTGCTTGCCTGATGTGGCCCCTTCCACCCCACTGCTGTCCTCTGCCTGTGCCGACCATGTTGATCTTTTCCGGGACATTCACACCCCTGAAGTGCTCTCTCCCAGTCTCCCGCCCCCACCCTGTCACCCCCTTGGTCCTGGTCGCTGACCCTGCCCCCTTGCCTCTCTCCAGCTCCAGCCAGAAGCCGCCACAGCCTCTCCCCATTTCCTCCGTGTAATGGTCTCTCAGCCCACTGGGAGGATTCTCAGAATGACTGAGGGGTGGCTTCCCTAATGTCCTCGGCTTGCTGCTCCCCAACCCTGGGCCCCACTTCCCCACTGGATGCCAGGCCCTGCTGTGCCCTCTGCTACCCGCAGCCCTGCCATCCTCAGCAGGCCGTGGTGGTGCCCCTCCTCCTGGAACCCTGTTCTTCTCCCCGTCTTCCCTCAGGTCCGCCCCGGCGCCCCTCCTCGCCCTCGCATTTCACTCTTCAGCCTCCTCTCTACTTCTCTACGTGGATCTGCCTCTTACTGCGTGGCATTCTCCCTCTCCTGGCTGGAATGACCCCTGTCTTCCTCTCCCACACCCCAACATCAGGGTCTGTCTCCTGCCTCCTGCTCCAGCCCACCCAGCTTCTTCCTTCTCTCCCCCTCCTTTCTGTCCCACCCAGGTGTCTTTCCTCCTTCCACTCTCTTTCTCATCATGTTCAGAATCGCCGACAACAATGGCTCCAGTTCTCTTCCTCCCACTCTGGGTTTTCTTCCCAGATTCCAGAGAGGCAGGATGCTCCCCACCCCCTCGGCGAGGTGGCATAACCACCCACTGCCAGCCCCGGGCTCCAACGTCACACCCGCCTACTTGTGCTGGACTCGCCCACCAGGACCACGCAGGTGTCCTTGCCGGCTTCACAGGTCTTCATCTTCCCGGTGCATGTGCGCCCAGACCCCTTACACACCTCACAGCTTAGAGGGCGTCCTGCAGGGCAGAGGGCGGGGCTGCAGCCAAGGACCATGGCTTGGATTTGGGGACTGGGGGTGGGAGGAGAAAGGAGGGACCTACGTGCCCCTGGTTTTCTCGTGGGTGGGGGCGTGGCTGTGGCCTAAGGGAACTGTGCAGAGAGCGGGCAGCCCTGGTGATGCCAGCAAAAAGCCGCTTGCAGGGGCGGGAAGCGACTCTCCCAGGGCCTGTGTACTAATTACAAAGCTGGGGACCTGGGACGCGGGAGTGGGGGGGTTTGTCTGCAAAGCTCCAGGGCAAGGAGGGGTCGTGGCCGGGGATTCCAGGGACTTTGGTGACGCTTCAGGTCCAGCTGGTTCTTGGGTGTGGGACTTCCTCCTTGCAGGACCAGAGGCGGGAAGACAATAGGAGCTCAAACCGCAGCAGGGATGAGGGTCGGCCTTGTAGGTCACCAGGGAGAGGGAAGGGCAGGCTGAGAGAAGAGGCTGGCTGGGGCAGCTGGGCAGCAAGAAAATGAGGCTTCCTGTGCTGAAGGGAGGAGGGAGCCCTGGAGAAAGGAACTTCCCAGTTGTGACGGTGGTTGAGGCTTTTTGGAGAGTGAACCTGTGGTTGGAAGATCTTTCTGTCTCTCCTCTTTCTGTAAATCTGCCTTTCCATTAAAAATAAATCTTGATTTCCTAGATAGAATTCAGCTGTCTGATTTAGGGCCCTGTCTGGGAGACAGGTTGGTGCCCGCCCCCTCCCCAGTTCCCCTGCCTTGGGATCCAGGCTGCACCTTCTCTCCCACGGGCCCCAGTTCCCAGTTCTTTTAGCCTGTTCCAAGTACTCCCAGGATCCCTCCCCAGCAGAGCTCCTTGCTAAACGCCACCCAGGCCTTTCTCCCGAGGTCTCAGGAAGGCGTTGAGCATCCCCTGTCAGTTGCTTACCTAGACCCAGCAGGGCGCAGAGCAGCAGATTGGCCAGCAGGAAGCTCCCGGGTCTCGTGCGTGGCCTCATGGTGTGTGAACCTGCAGTCCCAGGTCCCCTGTCCTTATAGGAAGCCGGGGATGGGTGGATCCAGACCCACCTTCAGCCTGGGGTGAGGTCAGAACCCAGGGTCAGTGCTCCTTGCAGCCTCGGGGCTGGGGAGGCGGGACCGGAATCAGAGAGAGCTCTGGACATCTGCTGCCCAGCCCCTTGCCCCACGGGGACCCCAGAAGTCCAGGCTTGCACCCCCCTTTGTGTGCACCAGGACCCTACATTCTCACCTTCGCCCCGTCCATGTGTTTGGTCACTTAATGTCCCCACGAGAGCAGAGTGGCTACAGACACTGGGATGTCCTTCTTTTCCCAAGGAGGCGTCCAGCGTGGGTGGCGCCCGGCCCGGGAGTGCCCAGCGTGCCCAGGCTCGTCCTGCGGGGGCCAGGCGCCTTCTCTCCCTTCCCTTCTTCACAAGCCGGGCCCACACTGGCTCTTGTGTGTCTTCAGCCCTGACTCCGCCCAGGGTTGAACCCCTGCAACTTGAGGGGGACCAAACAGAGAGGTGCCTGTCAGCGCCCAGAGGCGGGTGTGGTCGGAGACAGATGGCCACGGGCCACGTATTGGGAAACGGAGACACTTTGCGTGCGTGTGGTGCTTTATTCAGGCTCCTGAGAGTCTCTCTCTCTGTCTCTCTGTCTCTCTCGGCCTCAAGCACAAGGCTGGCACTGTGTGTCCGCGGCGAGTGTGGTGCCCGCAGGAACCCAGTGGAGGAGATGCCCTGGCTTGCGGATCCAGATTCTCTGCCAAAAATACTGAGTTCTAACCTTCAGTTTGGGCGCTGATTGCATCCGATATCCAATGAAAATCTCCGGGGCCTTGCAGCCACCAATCACAGAGGCCGCTCTTGTTGCTAGGCGTTCAGAAAGCCGAACGAGTACGTCATCAGGAGGCGGAGCTACAGCGGGACCCGTGGCGCGGCTCGTTGCTAGGGAACGCGGCGCCGCGCGCTGCGGAAAGGCTGGACTGGGCCTGCGCGGTGTCGACGCGAGCGCCGGCGCGCCGCGGTTTGAAAGGCCCAAGCGACGCGCGCATGCGCATTGAAGGCTGCGTGCGCGGAGCACCTTCTTCACGCCCCCCAAACCCTGTAAACTCCGACCCCGCTTCTCTCCTTTTCGGGAATCCCGAGCCCTTGGCATGCCGGAGATCCGCCTCCGTCATGTCGTGTCCTGCAGCAGCCAGGACTCGGTGAGGGGCTGGCGTGGTGGGACGCTGGAGAGGGGGAGGGGACAGCGTGGGAACTTTTGGGGTGCATGAGGGAACTTCATGGAAATCTAAAGTCGATCAGGAGGTGGGGTTCTTCCAGGAGGCTCAAGGTGAATTGAGGGAGAGAGGTGAGATTAAGGAATTTACAGAGAGAAAAGGAATGTGTGTATGTGGGGGGGGGGCGCATTCTTGGAGAGCAATGTGGGGGACACTCCTCCAAGGCGGAATGGGGGTGTTAGCGAGGACACTGAGCCCTGGGGGGATCTTGGTGGGCTTGGGTTCAGCATGAGGCCCAGGACCTCGCGCCCTCACCTGTTCCCCAACCCTGCTTCCCTGCCTTCTTCTGCAGACCCACTGCGCCGAAAACCTTCTCAAAGCTGACACTTACCGTAAATGGCGGGCAGCCAAGGCCGGCGAGAAGACCATCTCGGTGGTCTTACAGGTGAGCTGCCCCTTCCCCCGCCGCCTCCTTCGGGGTGTGAGCCCCTTTGTCCTTGGGGGACAGCTGGAAAACGGGCAGCCCCATCTCTGTGCCCCGCCCCCAGGAGAAGATGGGGCGACTTAGGGGACGTCTGCTTTCCCAGCCTCAGTCTCCCCGGCAGGAACAGAATCAGCGCGTGTGTGAGACCTGAAAGCAGCGGGCATGGAACCCACAGGGAGGGCACCCGCAGGTGCCCGTCAGAGGCGGCACGTCCACATCGCAGCCCCCAGAGCTTGCGGGGGCCCACGGGAGAGGGAGGTTGGACTCGAGGGGTGATGGAGTTCCAGAGGGCGCTGGGTGTGTCGGAGGTTCTGTGCTCTGCCAGCTGGGGGTCCAGATGTCCCACCCCGGAAGTATGGGGCAGGGGCGCCAGACAGACAGGATCAGGACTTGGCAGGGGCAGGGTCAGGACTTGGCAGGTGCAGCCGAGTGTGGAGTCTTGGGCCATTTGTGTTTACACACTGGCTTTCTGGTCCTGAATACGGTTGGCTTTGGGGATGGATCTTGTGGTGAGGGACAAGGCTTGTGCGATTGTATTTGACTCTGAGTGTGTTCTTGGTCTATTATTCAGGGGAAAAGAAAAAAAAAAGCCTTGGTTCAGAAGTTTTTCCTTGTATATACATTTTTAATTTCTCTCTTTTTAAAGATTTATTTTGCAAGGTGAGGAGTTTAGCTGCTAGACTACTGCGCCAGGCCCCTGGGCGCTGGTTCTAATCCTGGCAGCCCCACTTCCCATCCAGCTTCCTGCTTGTCATCTGGGAAAGCAGTGGAGGACGGCCCAAAGATTTGGGACCCTGCACCCACATGGGAGACCCAAAAGAGGTTGTGGGCTTCTGGCTTTAGATCGGTACAGTTCTGGCCATTGCAGCCACTTGGGGAGTGAATCATTGGACAGAAGATCTTCCTCTCTGTCTCTCCTCCTATTTGTATATCTGCCTTTCCAATTAAAAAAAAAAAAAAAAAAAGAAAGAAAGAAACTGGCAGCCATATGGGATCTCAGCATGTGCAAAGCGAGGACTTTAGCCGCTAGGCTACTATGCCTGGCCTGGGTCAGGAATTTTTAATTTTTATTGGAAAGGCAGATTTATAGGGAGGAGGAGAGACAGAAAGATCTTCAATCTGCTGGTTCACTCCCCAAATGGCCAGAGCTGAGCTGATCCAGGGCCAGGAGCTTCTTCTGGGTGTCCCATGCAGGCGTAGCGTTCCAAGTTTGGAGCCGTCTTCTGCTACTTTTCAGGCCAAATGAAGAGAGCTGGCTGGGAAGTAGAGCAGCTGGTATATAAACCGGTGCCTGTATGGGATCCCTGCACCTTGACAGGGGAGGATTAGCCACTGAGCCATGGTGCTAAGTCCAGAAAATCTTGGGAACTGGAGAGAAGCTGGGAATTCTCTTCCCGGGGTGGGTGGGGGGAATGTACATGCTTACAAGGTTTTCTGGCTGGTTTCAGAAGTTTAGACGTCCCCCAAGTTCCTCCCTTCATCGTGAGAGCTAACATCATTGGGTATTGCAACCTGCCAGTTCCAGTTCTATACCCGTGGTGAGGATGCACTCCTTGAATCCTCATTTAAAAAGCAAAAACTGCAACAAAAAAAACCCACAAAGAACAGGACCTAGAGTCTGCTGTTGTCCCCATTTCACAGGTGAGGGTACTGAGGCCCGGAGAACCCGTCTCTTACACCGTGGGAGATGCTGCGGGTTGCTGGCGGTTTCACTGGAGGGTCTGGCTTCGTATCGGCAGCTGCCCTGCGACTAGCTCTATGGCCTGGGGCACATTTTTTCCTTTCTCTCGGAGCCTGTTTTCTCAACTGTGCGTCAGGGACCAGCGCCGTGCACGCCTGGCATTGTTGGGACCGTCTGGTGACATAGCGTCTGCACAGCTGCCGTCAGCACGTGGGTGTTTGTGGAAGGGGAGGGCGTCCTTTGGGTGCTGTTGGGCCGTCAGCCGCTTTCACATGGGACACCCTGCGGAAGATCTGGTCGTCTCTGATGTTTGCCAGCGTTGGGGGTGACTCTGAGTTTGCCCAATGCTAACTTGGGTTCTGCTGTGATGCCTGACAAGGCGGCGGGCTCGGGGAGACAGGGACAGCAGGGTCCGCTGAGAGTTTCTCTTCTCTCCCCCCAGCTTTGCTCCCGCAAACACTGTTGTGCAACATCTGGATGTCGCAACGTGGGGCACAGCCCTCTGCCCGTGACAGCCCCACACACCTTCCCTTGTTTGTGGCGGCCGCAGGGCGGGGACTCCCCACCTCTGGCCACCACTCCTGGCCCCTGGGCCCCAACCAGAGGCGAGTGTCTGCAGTACTGGACAGGTGCTGTGGAGGGGGTTCACAGTGAGAGGGCACACGGCTCCTTGTTAAGGCTCGGGGTAGTACAGGCCTGCATTTTGCCACTGTGTCTTTGGGGTTGATGCTTGTTCCTGGCGTAGGCAGGAGGCGAGAGAGCCTGTATGTGCCGCCCAGGGGATCGTCCAGTCTGTAGCCGCTTGTACTTCACCCCGGACCAACGGTACTGTCTGCCCAGCCCCCACAGCCCTTTACCTTCCCTCCCGTCTCTCGCCCGACAGCGGTAAACGCTGTCCTGATTTTGTACTGAAAAGATAGTTGCACTTGGCTTTGAATTTTCTTCTTATTTTATTTGAAAGGCAGTAGGATAAAGAGGTCTTCCATCTGCGGCTCATTCCCCGAGTGGCTGCCGTGACTGGGGCTGGGCCAGGCAGAAGCCAGGGTCGGCCAGGAACCAGGAGCTTCCTCCAGGTCTTCCACTTGGCCCAAGCATTTGGAACATCTGCTGCTTTCCCAGGAGCATTAGCAGGGAGCTGGATTGGCAGTCGAGCAGCCGGGATGCAAACTGGCACTCCCATATAGGTGTCAGCTGCTGGTGGCTTAGCCCTCCACACCACCACACTGGCCTTTGGTTTTGAATTTCATGCCGGTGGAATTCTGTAGTGTGTTTCCTTTCGTGTCTAGTTTCTGCTGCCCACATCGTGTGTGCTGGTGTCACCCCTGCTGGCGGGTGTATGGTCAGTGCCTCATCATTTCCCTGTGCAATTCCATGGTGTGCTGCGAGCACGGTCGGCCCACTCACTCTCCTGCTTAAATGACTCCTCTGTTCATGTGATGCGAAGTCCCGGAAGAGGCTGTGTTGGTCCAGGAGGCCCCTGGTGCCACCCCGCTCTCCTTGCCCCTGCTGCCGCCCCGCTCTCCCCTCCCTTGCTGCCGCCCTGCTCTCCTCACCCCTGCTGCTGCCCCACTCTCCCCTCCCCTGCTGCCGCCCTGCTCATACCGCCCCTGCT